TGCTGCCAGCAAGCTGCCACTGGTGACACCTCACACTCAGCGCTGCTTAAAATTACTGAAGTTAGAATTAGACTATCTTCTCATGGAAGAAGAATTCATTAGAAATCAGGAACAAATGAAGCCTTTAGAAGAAAAGCAAGAGGAGGAAAGATCAAAGGTGGATGATCTGAGGGGGACCCCAATGTCGGTAGGAACGTTGGAAGAGATCATTGATGACAATCATGCCATCATGTCCACATCTGTGGGCTCAGAACACTACGTCAGCATTCTTTCCTTTGTAGACCAGGACCTGCTGGAGCCAGGCTGCTCAGTCCTGCTCAACCACAAGGTACGTGCCGTCACAGGGGGTGCTCATGGATGACACGGATCCCTTGGTCACAGTGATGAAAGTAGAAAAGGCTCCCCAGGAAACCTATGCTGATATTGGGGGCTTGGACCACCAAATCCAGGAAATTAAGTAATCTGTGGAGCTTCCTCTCACTCATCCTGAATATTATGAAGAGATGGGTATAAAGCCCCCAAAAGGGGTCATTCTCTATGGACCACCTGGCACAAGTAAAACCTTATTAGCCACAGCAGTAGCAAACCAAACCTCAGCCACTTTCCTAAGAGTGGTTGGCCCTGAACTTATTCAGAAGTACATAGGTGATGGGCCCAAACTCGTTCAGGAGTTATTTTGAGTTGCAGAAGAACATGCGCCATCCATCATGTTTATTGATGAAATTGATGCCATTGGAACAAAAAGATATGATTCAAATTCCGGTGGTGAAAGAGAAATCCAACAAACAAGGTTGGAACTGTTGAACCAGCTGGATTGATTTGATTCAAGGGGTGACATGAAAGTTATCATGGCCACAAACTGAATAGAAACTTTGGATCCAGCACTTATCAGACCAGTCCACATTGACAGGAAAATTGAGTTCCCCCTGCCTGATGAAAAGACTAAGAGGCACATCTTTCAGATCCACACAAGCAGGATGACGCTGGCCAATGATGTGACCCTACACGACTTGATAATGGCTAAAGATGACCTCCTGGGGCCGACATCAAGGTGATCTGTACAGAAGCTGGTCTGATGGCCTTGAGAGAACGCAGAATGAAAGTAACAAATGAAGACTTCATAAAATCTAAAGAAAATGTTTTTTTTTTT